ACCCTTGGTCAAGGAGTCGTTGTAGGCTTCTAGTACCTGGCGTTGGACGGCTGCGGTAAGTCCTTTGGTCAGATCTGTGGCGCCTGCGTTGAGAATCTGTTCTGGGTCGAGGCCGCCGATGTGTTCGAGGCCTTTGGTGAACTTGTCAATGTAGAGGTTCTGGCCGACGGCTGCGAATACGGCGCCGCCCAGGGTCTGGCAGAGTGACAGCACGGCTGTGCCGATTGGTACGTCGTTTTTGGGAAGAATGGTTTGGATGGCTAGGTTTGGTTGTTGCATCGTCCAGCCCACGCCGATACCGAGAATGATTTGATAGCCGATCCACATGCCGGTGTTGGTTCCCATGTCCCAGGTCGTAATTAGGCCGGCACCAATGGCCATGAAGCTCGATCCTAGAATCATAAATGGAGTGTAGTATCCAATACGTTGGACAAGTCCGCCAGAGGATATGGAACCCACGACGACAGAGAGAACAAGGGGAATGGTATTCACACCAGACTGCATCGCCGACACCTCCTTGATAGCCTGAAACCACAAGGGTATGTAAATGGATACCGTAAGCATCGTCGCCCCAACACAAAATTGGGATGCACCAGCGCATGCTACGCTTCGCTGCAGGATGATGCGAGGGGGAACAGTGGCTGTGGTGTGCCTCGTCCAGTACTGCCAGAAGATAAAGGCCAAGAACAATACCGCGAATACAACCAACATGGCGATTATCCGTGGAGATGCCCAGGAGAACTCTGCCGCGCCCCACTCCAAAGCGAGGAGTAGACAAGTGATGGATGGGAGAAAGAGCGCCGTGCCCACTGGGTCTAGGTGCTTGACCACATCTTTCCAGCTGGCCAACTTTGGTTTCTGCTCATCCAGTTTGAGAAGAAAGCAAACGACCAATATCGTGAGGCCTCCCAAGGGCAAATTGATGTAGAAACACCAAGACCAGCCTCGCTCCGACATGGACTTTTTTTCGCAGTTGTTAGTCTACCAAACAGGACCTCAAGACCGGCACAACAGATGAAGAACTTACAGTGAAAGCGCCTCCAAGCAACGGACCGGCCACACTTGCAACGCCAAAGCACGCGCCAAATAGCCCCTGCAGCATCGGTCTCTTGTGCAGCGGTACCGTGTTCAGCATGATCAAGATGGCTCCCGTGAAGATGGCACTGCTGCCCAAGCCGGCAATCGCCCGGCCAATAATCAGCATCATACTGCTCTGCGCGGCGCCGCATACCACGCTGCCTGCCTCGAAGAGAAAGATGCCAGACAAGAAGACGGGTTTTGTGGGGAAAAACGTGTAGATGCGACCGTAGAGTAGGATGAAGCCTGCCGAAGTGAGCATGTAGGCACTGCCGTACCAGCCAATGTCGTCGATGCTGTTGAACTGGTTCGTTATAGCGGGAATGGCGGGCCCGATTATGGTCCTGTCGAGGGCGACTAGGAAGATGGAGATGTAGAGCGAGACCATGATAACTGCTGTTTTTGCTGCTGAAGGGTATGCTGGGCCGGCACCGCCCATGGATTGTGCATCATGCTGCTCGCTTTCCATTGTGGAAGTCGGGCTTTGGGCCTCGTCACCGGTGGAATGCGTCTCCTGGAGATGCGTCTTCCTGCTCTTTTGCTTGTGCTTGAGCCGCGGGAGACTGTCTGCGGAATCTGCATTGTCGACCCCGTACTTGGTGGATATGGATTGCAGACTCGAGTGCTGAGAGGTGCCGTAGGATTGCAAATTCGGGACGTAGTCACCCCCCTGCCCGTTTCTCACATGCGGTCTCTCTCGCCCTGGAGTCCCCATGTCGTTCATCTCAAGAGTAGTGTTCGATCCCATTGCGATACCGTAGTATGTCGACAGACGTTGTTGCTGCAACTCCACTGACGAGTAAGGCCTATGATGGCTATGGTACTGCGTTGATGACCGAACGAAAGCGTTGTCGCAGGTATCCGCCAAGTCTGCAATAGCTTGTGCAATTCTTATTTCCTCGTCGTTTGAGCTGCGGGATGGCTGGAGGCTTTCACTGGGGCTGCGCTCGCTGGACGGCGCAGGATCCGGGACCGATCCAAGACCCGTATGGTCCGAGGAAGTGGATATAGACATCGCCATGTCGAAGTTCTCGCTTGCCAGGGTACGGTAGACGTACAAGAACGAATGCAGTCGAGTATCCACGCCGGTCCAAGTAGTCAGGGCCCAAGGTAGGTATACTAGTCGATAAGAGTTAATATAATCAAGATCATGTACTAATCGGATCTCATCAAGATGCACCCAAATAGTCCATAATCAAGTAAGAACAGTATGGACAAATGTCATCACACACACCCAAGGAACAAGCTCAAATCCTCCAAAGACCATGGACTATACTAAGTCCAGCTATCTCCTACACACCATACTCACGATTGCAAATCATCACGGGGGATCGGTACCACGCACTCCCCAAGCACCGATGCATGTTACGCAACCTGCGTATCTATCAATACACTGCGCGTGCCTGGGTACCATGCGCAGTTGTTACAGGTGGGTTGGAGCCCTGCGCGCACACTGCATAGAGGGCGCATGGTCGGTGTTGCGGTGCAGTGGTCAGCACCGGGGTGGCTTTGGGGAGCCGAAGGCAGACAGACATGGCCGCCACACTTTAGCCTTGTGCCCGAGACAGGCTGCAGCTGGATTGTGTAGATTCGAATTTCAAGGCTTGAGGGGCAGACTTCTAAGCTGATACGCATGTATATTAGTGTTTTCGATGACGGGAGAGGGTACAGGCGTGTGGGAGTTTTAGGCACGGTGTGGATGTGGGTAAGAGTGTCTGTGGTGTCAAGAAAAGTTGAAATTCATCTCACTACCTTTATGAATAATTCAGCCAAGAGGTTCTCACGTCTAGACTGAATACAGGGCAAGTTTATAGTGCACCGTCTCGAGTTCGCGTACTGCACTCCCAAGATAGCTTTCCATAAGACCCAAGCTCTACCGTACGCCACATGTTCAATTTCCGCAAGACAACAATACCTAAAAAAGGCGCTATCCAATTTTCATTGAATTTCCTGGCTAACATGAATCGAAAGTGACCTCTCATCCCTGCCACACATCCATAAGTGGATATATCTGTGCACCAGTATACTATCTAAACCACAAACACAATTCCGACCATAAGTCCCAGTAAACCCCAGATCCTCCCATAAACCTCAATTCACCATTCCATCTCCCACAAAACCCAATCAAATCAAAATCAACGAATAAATCCTCTCCTTAAAAGCCATCGAAAATATAAGCAATAGGGCCCCCAACCTCGCCCACTCTACTCCACTCCCTCTACACCCAGCATCCGCCCACTCTAGCTCAGAAACCAATCGTTTCCGCATACCGGTACAGTATGGTACGGTAAACCAAGTTTCCAGTTCCACATTTAAAGAAGAATCTTATCCTATGACTACGGTAAAAAATTGTTTACTGTAGAATGGTACGCTAGGGGTTTACTATATAGGTGTAGACTGACCTCGTGTATACCTGTAAATAGGTTTAAAGTGGTGGTTTACTTTTATTATAGGTGGTTTAAATTAAGTATAAAAAGTAGTTTTATATCTATTATACGCTATAATACCTAACTAAGACTAAAAGGGGTAGAGAAGATTAGCTTCACGCTATACGCACATATAACACTACAGTACAAAACCGGTTTATAGTAGCTATATTTATCTAAAGTAGACTAAGAAGTGGTTTAGGTAGAAGAAGTAAACCTAAATAGGGTTTATTATACTATATATTCCACAAAAGTAAACTACTTTTATTCCTACTTCTATTAATCTACTAGTATTAGTAATAACTAGTTTCCTACTAACTATTTAAGTATTTTACCCCTCCTTTCTTTAATCTTCTTTACCACCTCTATCACCACCTCTACCACCTCCACCACCTCCACTACCTCCACTACATCCACCACCTCTATCACCACCTCTATCACTACCTCTACCACCACCTCTATTATTACTACCTCCTATTAGTAAAAATATTATAACTTATTATTATGTTATATATGCGTATAGCGTAAAGCTAATCTTCTCTACCTCTTTTAGTCTTAGTTAGGTATTATAGCGTATAATAGAAATAAAACTACTTTTTATACTTAATTTAAACCCCTAACTATAAAAGTAAACCACTACTTTAAACCTATTTACGGGTATACACGAGGTCAGTTTACACCTATATAGTAAACCCCTAGCGTACCATTCTATAGTAAACAATTTTTTACTGTAGTAAACACAATAATAAGTTATAATATTTTTACTAATAGGAGGTGGTAATAATAGAGGTAGTAATAGAGGTGGTAATAATAGAGGTAGGAATAGAGGTGGTAATAGAGGTAGTGATAGAGGTGGTGGTGGTAGAGGTAATAGTAGTAGTAGAGGTAGTAGAGGTGGTGGATGTAGTGAAGGTAGTGGAGGTAGTAGAGGTAGTAGAGGTAGTAGAGGTAGTAGTAGAGGTGGTGGTAGAGGTGGTGATAGAGGTAGTGGAGGTAGTGGAGGTAGTAGAGGTGGTGGAGGTGGCAGAGGTGGTGATAGAGGTGGTGATAGAGGTGGTGGTAGAGGTGGTGGAGGTGGTGATAGAGGTGGTAATAGAGGTGGTGGTAGAGGTGGTAGAGGTAGTAGTAGAGGTAGTAGTAAAGGTTGTTGTTTCTATATTACCTATAGTACTTACTATGGAAATTTAGATTACTAAGGTTAGGAATAATTTAGGAGATAGATTATTAGATTATATCTACTACGATTAGACTTATATATATAGAGCTTTAGCTACCCTTACTAGAAGGTAAATAATTAGTAAACCTTCCTTACTAGAGCTCCTACTTTTTATTAGGCACTTAGCAGTAAGCTAGCAGTTAATTAGATAGTAGGTTATGCAGGGGTATTAATTAGGATTAATTAGATTAAGATACTTTGTAATCTAGTTAATATCCCTCCTATAACACACCCCCTAGGTATAGGTAGATCTTTTGTTATTATAGTTGCGCTTATAGTTAGTAGGTAGTGTAGCTAATTAGAGCGTTATATATCTAAAGGGTTAAATTAGCGCACCCTTTAGATACTAATTAGTGCGCCTTCCTTATTAGGTCTGCGCTTGCGCGCTTAGATATTGTCTAGACTAAGCTCTAAGACTCTATCTACCTAACTATAATCTTTACTATAGCTTAAATTATAAGATTATATAACCCTAAAGATCTAACTATACCTATATCCCTACTAACCTATATCTTACTTAAAGTTAAAATCTGCTACTTACGCTTGCTCTACCTGCGCTACCCTTAATGCCTCCTACGCTACTAAAGCTGCTGCTACTAAGGTTAAGCGCGCTACTACTAAAGAAGCTAAGTATATAGCTACGTGTAAGGCTATTATAGATTATATAGTAGTGTCGTAAACCAAGAATAGGGCAAAAGTGAACACTGTTACCCTACCCCAATAAGTTGATATATATGGTGGGATATTGATAAGATATTGTATTGCGACAAGTAGCTAAGCGTGTAGCTACTACTACTACTAAGGAGGCTATAATTAATACTACTTATAAGAGGTATATATAGTTATATTTAGATAAGATTAAGAGGCTAAGAAAGGGGTATATTCCCCCCCTCTAGCTCTTACTCCTCTAGCTCTATTGGCTGCGCTTGCTCCCCCTCTAGTTTCCGCTCCTTCCTAGACCCCGCCTAAGGCCGCCGCTCCTGCTCCTTCCCCTTCTTTAGCTCCTAAGGAGACCCTAAGATCCTCCTGCTATAGAGAGCCTAGTATTTGTTATGCTAAAACTTATCTAAATTATCTGCGCTCTGCGCTCTTTAATAAGTCTAATAGTAAGTGCTATAACCTTTCTAGTAAAGGGACTTAGTACTAGTAGTGCTCCTCTAGGTATAGCTATATCCTAATATATATAATCTATATAAGAATTTTTCCTTTATAATACTTTAGTAAGATTAAGATTAATACTAATAAACTAATAGCCCTAAGCTTGCCTAACGCTCTATACTATCCTTTCTAGTAAGGAAGTAGGTAGGTAAGAGCTAAGATCTTCTTAAGGATAAGAAGAGAAGGATCTTAGTGCTCCTTAAGGAGAGTAAGGCTAAATAGCAGGAGCTAGTAAAAGCTGCTGCTACTACTACTAAGCTTGCACGTAAGGCTACTCTTATAGCTAAGTATACCTAAAGCTCCTTATTAGAAGATAAGGCCTCTAGCTCCTCTAAGGTTCCCCCTATAGATCCTAAGTAAGGATAACCTAGGTAGCTCCCTATAGACTCTAAGGCACGCTATACACGTATAATAGAGCTTCTTAGGGAAGCTACTTAGTTAATAATAAAGAGGTAGGCTATAGTTAGTTATTCTTATATTATATATTAATATATCTTATATACTACCTTACTTTAATTAATACTATATAATATATACTCTGCTATTATATAACTTTAGGTGCTCCCTTAACCTTATAAATTATTATGCGGTTAGGTTTTTAGTAAGCCTATTAGCTAGTATATTACTAGTAGGTAGGTAGGTAATATAGAAAGATCCCTTTTTATACTCTTATCTAAGCTACATGTTTTAAATATCTATATAGCGTAGCTTAGTAGTAATCCTTTTATTATTACCTACTACTAACCTAGTAGTTTGTTAATTATTATAATTAATTATCTAGGTAGTATCTAAAGTAAGGTGTATTTTAGTTAAGAAGCGTTTTAACGCTATTACTTCTTTGCTTACTTACTTAAGCGCAAGGAGCTCTACCTTAGTAGTTAAAGTAGTAACAGTTACTTGTTAAGCTGCCTTCTAAATAATAGGTCCTCTAAAGAGCGTAATTAGGTATCTATGTAATAATCACTAAGTATTAATATTATTAGCAAATAACGCATTAGTATATATTATAAGCTTATTAGAATCCCTATTCCTATATTAGATTAATTAGTATTAAGTTTAGTATAGATAGATAATTACTTAATTAACTGTATTAAAGTGTTATTTAGATAGGTTAGTAAGGTATTAGGAGAGCTAGGAGGCTACATAGGCAATATTAGGGCGCACTATAATTAAGGTGTAAAGGATTAATCCAACGCGCTCCTGATAGTCCTTAATCTCCTTTTTAGTGGCTTCTCTAGTGCTCTTTTTAATGTCTTTACTTAATAGTAGTGTAGCAGGGAATTTTCCTATCTCTACTAGATTAAATTTCTTTGCAATCTTGTTAATATATTTATTATAAACAAGCGTTATTGTCTGTCTCTTTCTATCCTGGATTACTCTTACCCCTAGAAACTAGCTTATAGGTCCCTTTTCTTCTATAATATATCTTTGCTTTAGAGCTTAGATAACTTTGTAAGCTTAGCTTGCGTAGTTTTAGTAATAGAGTGATAGGATATTATCTACATAGAATATTAACAAGATACTACAATCTCTATTAAAGAATAGGCATAGCTCCTCTTTAGAAGTAATAAGCTTATTTTCTTAGAGTGTAGTTAAGAGCTTATTATACTATAATAATAGTAAGTCTTTTAGTCTATATAGAGCTTGTTTAAGCTTAACACACTTCCTAGGTATTTAATATCCTTTAGGTAGCTTACAGATAACTATAGGGTGTTAATCCCTTAAGGCGTTAAGA